TTGCCGATAAGTCTGTAAAAGTCAGTGATCGATTTTATACGATATCAATATGTGGAAAAGAACCCCCTTTATAAAATAATAGAATATCAATATATTTCGATTCTGACAGCTGCCACGGTTTTAGGAAGTCCTAAAGAATGTTAATATTCAAAAATTATTTTAAAAACCGCTTTTTTACGAACGGACCAGTTTATTTAAGTAGTTTCAAACCTTGGTCTATTTTGTTGCAATCTCTTTAGCACTAATACCCTAGGAAAGAACATGCCACCATCTTTTCTCCCGCCAGTTATACGTTTAAATAGCGACGTAGACTGAGCTTTTGAGCCTTGGGTAGCAGCCAGTCTAGAAGAAAGTCAAATTCAAATTATAAAAACGGCAGCAAAGACGAGTGGAAGCTGCTCCATTATTTTTTCCCAAGAAGTGATTTATTTTTCGCATATATTAAGGAAAACTAATCTAAGTGTCGGTCAAAACATCTCACATGTTCCATCCATGGTATTCTCAGCATCCTCCCGTAGAGCCAGATTCAAGTCCCCTCGTCATCTAAGAGAAAATTGTCCAGCGTTCACTGCCATATTGTTATTACACAGTTCAGCGATTTATTCTCTTTGAAGTGTTCCTGTTTCTTAATAGTTGGCTTGCTTTCTGGAAAGGCATCTTTTTTGTACACTATTTACATTATTCGGACTATTGTCCTCATCTTTGTCGCCATATTTATTACATCGTTTCGGCCTTTCAGTATCTGCCTATATTTCTGAGATGAGGTATTATGTACACTATTTACATTATTCGGACTATTGTGCTCATCTTTGTAGCCATATTTAGTACAACGTTTCGGCCTTTCAGTATCTGTCTATATTTCTGAGATGAGGTATTATGTACACTATTTACATTATTCGGACTATTGTCCTCATCTTTGTCGTCATATTTATTACAACGTTTCGGCCTTTCAGTATCTGTCTATATTTCTGAGATGAGGTATTATATACACTATTTACATTATTCGGACTATTGTCCTCATCTTTGTCGCCATATTTATTACATCGTTTCGGCCTTTCAGTATCTGCCTATATTTCTGAGATGAGGTATTATATACACTATTTACATTATTCGGACTATTGTCCTCATCTTTGTCGCCATATTTATTACATCGTTTCGGCCTTTCAGTATCTGCCTATATTTCTGAGATGAGGTATTATACACTATTTCACATTATTCGGACTATTGTGCTCATCTTTGTAGCCATATTTAGTACAACGTTTCGGCCTTTCAGTATCTGCCTATATTTCTGATGAACGATTATGTACACTATTTACATTATTTTGGACTATTGTCCTCATCTTTGTCGCCATATTTATTACAACGTTTCGGCCTTTCAGTATCTTCTATATTTCTGAGATGAGGTATTATATATACACTATTTACATTATTCGGACTATTGTCCTCATCTTTGTCGCCATATTTATTACATCGTTTCGGCCTTTCAGTATCTGCCTATATTTCTGAGATGAGGTATTATATACACTATTTACATTATTCGGACTATTGTCCTCATCTTTGTCGCCATATTTATTACATCGTTTCGGCCTTTCAGTATCTGCCTATATTTCTGAGATGAGGTATTATACCTCATCTCAGAAATATAGACAGGCATTTTTGTGTCGGGGAACACTTAAAAGTGAGTGCATGTTAATTAATGTTAGTAATCTGCTCGCTTTACGATATTTCGATTAACGAAAGGTTCTTTGGGATCGATCTATTTTGGGATAGCGAATGGAATCTTTGTCTTCATTTGGGATTTGAGATTAAGCCGAACGACTGAATTTTTTTAACTAGATTCAGTCGACTGAAGTAAATTGTAAATCAGTTGAAATGACACCTGAGGGTCGTTGGTGCTATCATTCTACGTTTTCTAATTATAAAAAAAAAAAAAAGCAAGCAGAAGTTAACGTTTTTGCAGCTGTGCACGAACAGCGATAAATGGAGAACGATCTTACCTTCTTCTAACTCGACACTAGGGGGCGCCTGTGGAGGTTTCCTCCTTCGACTGGGATCAAATATGTATTCATAAAGTAAACCAGCTGTAATACCACCGCCAAAAGGGCCAACCCAGTAGATCTGCAACAGAAAAAAAAGGGTCGTATTTAAAAATTAATATAATTGTCCAAATCGTGTAACAGCAAAATTGTCCAAATCGTGTAACAGCAAAATTGTCCAAATCGTGTAACAGCAAAATTGTCCAAATCGTGTAACAGCAAAATTGTCCAATTGTTAGATAAAGCTCTGAACCATTGCATGTTAGAAATGATTAAAGATATCTTACTGGAATTCGTCAAGATTTTATAACATGTATAATTACTCGCCAAGCTTAACAGAAGAATAAAAAAATACAACCCCCCCAAAAAAACAAAACAAACCAAACGGATTTCTTACAAAGAATACATATTCTATTCATACGAACCTATCCTAAAAATTTTGTCGGCATTAAATAACCCATTGAGGTGTTGATATACCGTAAAACAAAATAAACCAAACCAAAACTGATTTCTTACAAAGATTACATATTCTATTCATACGGAACCATCCTATAAATCTTGTCGGGATTAAATAACCCATTGAGGTGTTGATATACCATAAAACAAAATAAACCAAACCAAACTGATTTCTTACAAAGAATACATATTCTATTCATATGAATCTATCCTAAAAATCTTGTCGACATTAAATAACCCATTGAGGTTAATATGCTGTGAAACAAAATAAACCAAACCAAACCAAACTGATTTCTTACAAAGAATACATATTCTATTCATACGAACCTATCCAAAAAATCTCGTCGGCATTAAATAACCCGTTGAGGTGTTGATATACCGTAAAACAAAATAAACCAAACCAAATCTAGAGTCGAAGAGGTTAATATTGTAGTGATCTATAGACTTAGAGATATGCAAGCTAGATTCAGGAGAGAAAATTTTTCTAGCATCACATATTGAACAGACTTTCTTAGCAGCTGAAAAATCAGGGTCAATGCATTTTAGAGTAAAATTACCTACAATTAAGTTTCTCTAGTAAAATCACTTCTAATGCAGTCTAAGATTAAAATCATTTCCAGTGCATTTTTATAGTAAAATCACTTCCAAATGATTTTAATAATAAAATGTATTTCTTAGTAAAATTACTTTCAATGAATTTTATATTAAAATCATTTCAGTGCATTTTTAGTAAAATCACTTCCAAATGATTTTAATAATAAATGTATTTCTTAGTAAAATTACTTTCAATGAATTTTTATATTAAAATCATTTCCAGTGCATTTTTTAGTAAAATCACTTCCAAATGATTTTAATAATAAAATGTATTTCTTAGTAAAATTACTTTCAATGAATTTTTATATTAAAATCATTTCCAGTGCATTTTTTAGTAAAATCACTTCCAAATGATTTTAATAATAAAATGTATTTCTTAGTAAAATTACTTTCAATGAATTTTTATATTAAAATCATTTCCAGTGCATTTTCATAGTAAAATCACTTCCAAATGATTTTAATAATAAAATGTATTTCTTAGTAAAATTACTTTCAATGAATTTTTATATTAAAATCATTTCCAGTGCATTTTTTAGTAAAATCACTTCCAAATGATTTTAATAATAAAATGTATTTCTTAGTAAAATTACTTTCAATGAATTTTTATATTAAAATCATTTCCAGTGCATTTTCATAGTAAAATCACTTCAAATGCATTTTCATGGCAAAATCACTATCAGTGATTTTTTATATTAAAATCACGTCTAATGCAACTTCATAGCGAAAACACTTCCAATGTCTGTTTATAATAAATTTACTTACAATGCATTTTCATAAAATCAATTGTAACTTTTAATGCTTTTTTTTATAGTAAAATCATTTGCCGTGCATTTTTATTGTAAAATCATTTTCAATAGATTCAGCGAAGCTAATCTGGTTGATTCTTGCTAATGAGTAGCGTGTTTCGTCCTAAATTAGGGTCTCATACAAAAATTCAACATTCCATAAGGGCAGGTATGCCATAAAATCAACTAACTTAACCATCCATTTGCTCAAACCTATTCTTTAAAACAGATTCGCCCATTTCTGTTCTCTACTTTGATTGCCTTCAATGGGCCATTTGGGACTACGCCTAGCATATAAAAAAATACGATATGGAAACCGTTAATAAATTAAGAAAGAAAGAGAACTGACAGCAAAGCTCCATACTAGCTGCAGCAGCAGCCGATATGGAAAAAAAGAAACCGCGATGAATACAGACGTTTGTCACAAGTGGCAACAGTAGTTTGATCATCAGGCAGATTTGGTTTAAGGGTCCAAGTTCTACATTCTGGATTAACTCACAGGGCGAGAACCTAATGGATTAAAAGGCTGCATTAAGTTGATGACGTATAATTACGAGTTCCGTCACGCCGAGAAGCAGAGAAATAAATACGATATGGAAATAAAGAAAGAGAACTGACCGAACAATGGATTCAATATAATCTTTTCATTTCATGCCGAATTTGATGTGTTTTATTTTAAATTTTTATTTATTTATTTTTTTATTTAAAGTTCAGGAAAAAATGTTCTCTTAAATTTACTGATGGAAATGAAAATTTCCTCCGACAGAAAAAAAAAAAAAAATAATGAAATGGGCGTTAAATGACGAAACAAAACGAGATTTCAGCGATGAACGATATTTTTTTCTTCCCCATTTTGGATGCATAAAAAACAAATCTGTCTCTTGAAATCTGACATATTCAGGCTAGAGACACATAAAAACGAAAATGGGCACTTGTGTTGGAAAATAAGCAAGCAAATGACAAATAATGATTTGACTTAAGTGATTTTGGTCGCATTAAAAATCGGACGAATGTTTTCGTCAAACATTTTACAATCGAGTCGCCTTGAAAAGGTCGAATAAATCAAACGGAAACATTTTTATTTTGAATATGTCAGAAAATGTTTCGAAGAAAAGCAGTTATTTGAAAGATGTTGATTCAAATCATGGCAACCAAGTGACTGTAATTGTTTTTAAAAATCAACTATCATTAACTTTTGAAGAAAAAATAGGGAAGTAGGAGTTCCAGACTGTCAAATGAGGGAAACAGTCGCCGATATGCTGGTTGCACTAGAGGTTTCTTTCATTCTCTCTTTCTCACTTTCTTTCTTTTTCTTTCTTTCTTTTTTCGTTTTCTTTCTTTCTTTCTCACATTCTTTCTTTCTTTCTTTCTTTTTCTGTTTTCTTTCTTTCTGTCTTTCTTTCTCACATTCTTTCTTTCTTTCTTTTTCTGTTTTCTTTCTTTCTGTCTTTCTTTCTCACATTCTTTCTTTCTTTCTTTTTCGTTTTCTTTCTTTCTTTCTCACATTCTTTCTTTCTTTCTTTCTTTCTTTCTTTTTCTGTTTTCTTTCTTTCTGTCTTTCTTTCTCACATTCTTTCTTTCTTTCTTTTTTCGTTTTCTTTCTTTCTTTCTCACATTCTTTCTTTCTTTCTTTTTCTATTTTCTTTCTTTCTGTCTTTCTTTCTCCCATTCTTTCTTTCTTTCTTTTTCTTTCTTTCTTTCTCACATTCTTTCTTTCTTTCTTTCTTTCTTTCTTTCTTTTTCTGTTTTCTTTCTTTCTTTCTTCCTTTCTCACATTCTTTCTTTCTTCGTTTTCTTTTTGTTTGTCTTTCTTTCTCACTTTCTTTCTTTCTTTTTCTGTTTTCTTTCTTTCTTTCTTTCTTTCTCATTCTTTCTTTCTTTCTTTCTTAGTTTTTTCGTTTTCTTTCTGTTTGTCTTTCTTTCTCACTTTCATTTTTCTTTCTTTTTTCGTTTTCTTTCTTTCGGTCTGTCTTCATTTCTATCATTCTTTCTTTCTTTCTTTTTCTGTTTTCCTTCTTTCCTTCTTTCTTTCTTTCTTTCTTTCTTTCTTTCTTTCTTTCTCACATTCTTTCTTTCTTTCTTTCCCACATTCTTTCTTTCTTTCTTTTTTAGTTTTCTTTCTTTCTTTCCTTCTTTCTTTTTTCGTTTTCTTTCTTTCGGTCTGTCTGTATTTCTAACATTCTTTCTTCCCTTTTTTTCCGTTTTCTTTCTTTCTTTTTTTTTTTTCTTTCTTTCTTTCTTTCTTTCTTTCTTTCTTTCTTTCTCACATTCTTTCTTTCTTTTTTCGTTCTCTTTCTGTTTGTCTTTCTTTCTCACTTTCTTTCTTTCTTTATTTTTTCGCTTTTTTTTTCTGTCTGTCTTTCTTTTCACATCCTTCTCTCTGTCTTTCTTTATTTTTTTGTTTTCTTTCTTTCTGTTTTTCTTTCTTTCTTTCTTTCTTTCTTTCTCACTTTATTTATAGTTATTTGAAAGATGTTGATTCAAATCATGGCGGCCAAGTGACTGTAATTGTTTTTAAAAATCAACTATCATTAACTTTTGCAGAAAAAATAGGGAAATGGAAGTTCGGGACTGCCAAATGATGGAAACGGTCGCCGATATGCTGGTCACACAAGAGGTTTCTTTCTTTCTTTCTTTCCTTCTTTTTTTCTTTCCTTTTTGCATGCTTTCTTTCTTCCTTTCTTTTTTCGTTTTCTGTCTGTCTTTGTTTCTCATATTCTTTCTTCCTTTCTTTCATTTATTCATTCTTTCTTTCTCTCTCTCTTTCTGTTTTTGTTTCTTTGTTTCTTTCTTTCTCACTTTCTTTTTTCTTTCTTTCTGTCATTAATTCTTTCTTGGTTTAAGGGTCAAAGTTTTATAGTCTGGATTAAATCATGGGGCAAGAACTTAGTGGATTAAAAGGTTGCCTTGTTAAGTCGATGATGTATAATTACGTGTTCAATCACTGGGCCGAGTAGCGTATAATTGGACTTTTCAGGAAACGGGGTTAGTACTTTTAGTAACACTAGTTGAAGTAGTTTACGATCGTATAAACGAGGTGACTTGATACTAAAGAAAACAATGAACAAAATATTACATAATTTATATACACAGGTTGAGACGAACCGAGTTTTTGATAAAGTAAAGATGGCCCAGTTGGTAAAAGCGTTTGTGGAATTCAGCGACTTAACCCAGAATGTTGTGAGTTCAAATACTGGCAACGGCAGCGATGAACAAAAACTTGGAAAGTTCAGTTAAAGGGAGATAACTGGGACAAGTAGACGTGAAACTAGAATAATCTGCACCGGTGGACGAAATAAAGGGTTCAGTCCTAAAAAAAAATGAAACAAAGACTGTTTAGAATCTGTCTATATTTCTGAGATGATGTATTATGTACACTATTTACATTATTCGGACTATTGTCCTAATCTTTGTCACCATATTTATTACAACGTTTCGGCCCTTCAGTATCTGTCTATATTTCTGAGATGAGGTATTATGTACACTATTTACATTATTCGGACTATTGTCCTCATCTTTGTCGCCATATTTATTACAACATTTTGGCCTTTCAGTATCTGTCTATATTTCTGAGATGAGGTATTATGTACACTATTTACTATAAATATGGCGACAAAGATGAGGACAATAGTCCGAATAATGTAAATAAAGACTATTTAATATGTATACTAATTTATGAATTCAATGTTTTTAATAGATATCCTGTAAAATGAGCAAGGTTTAGTTCCGTCTTGTTTTTTCTTTGTAATCCTGTTGATCTTAAGTAAGACTGTAAAGCCACTAAGGCACAAGTGTAAAGGACTAGAAAATGAATACATGCTTGTTTTTCTAACCATGTTCACCCAAAGCAAGGCAATAAAGCCACTAAGACGCAAGAGGATGTGGAAGAGTTAGAAACAGAAACATTGCAATGGAGCAAGAACAAAAGAAGAGTAATCAGGAGGACAGTAGATAGCGATTGGCATTACATCTAAATTATGGAGCTAGAATTGAGTTCCACTAGTGAGAAGTGCGAGAAAAGAAACAGTTAGCATTGAATTTACGGTTACATCTAGCCAGTTCAAATCTAAACTGATGAGACCCTGTCCTCAATCAAGTACTACGCTTTCATCTGACTGGATTCCTTGATGTTAGCCTTGGGAAACTGTCCATCGTATTCAGCAGTCGAGATCCTAGAATCCACAACTCCGCAATGCTGTTAATTATAGAACCAATAATCCTTTCTTTCATTCTCTCTTTCTCAATTTCTTTCTTTTTCTTTCAAACTTTCAAACCTCCGCTGTCTTGCGGCCGTACCCAGTTATTGATATTGATAGTAATAACTGAAAATGAAATCTAGAATCGTAGTCCCAAAGGCGGTTCGACGTTACCTCCAGCCTTAACTGACTGACTCACTTTAAAGAAATCCAAGGTGACTCCAAACTTTTTGCCTGTATATATGGAGATAAAATCGGCTTCGTTGTAAACGTTCGAAGTTCATAGAAATGGCTATGGTGTCTCATGCATCAATTATGGCATCCGCACAGAGACTTTCAGTATAGAAGGACCAAGGATTAAAAGATTTGTGAAGTTAATTACTAACAAGATTATATCGTTGGCAAAAGGAATAAACGTCTTTCAGTAGACATCGGAACAAATACTCAAGTAAATTCCGTGATGAAATCTTAGCATTATTCCATTCAATATTCAGACTTGTATCCTCGTCTTTCTTCTTGTGGCCACTTTTAGATGAGCTGGTAGGTATCAGGAGAAAATCATAGCCTCATTCAACGTTCTCTCCTGAAAACATTACCCTGAATTCATTCGTTACTCGAATTTGTATCCCCGTCTTGGTGAATAACTGGTATACTTTTAAATGGTAAACATTTCCATCTTCTGCGGACCCTCAAGTATTCTGAGATTTTCACTCGATCATGGAACCCGTAACTCATAGGGTCGTAGGGACACAACATGTAATCCGGCAACAGTACCAGTGGAATTTCATGGACAAGATAGCCTAACGGAGTTCAACCCTCTTAGAATTCAGAATTTTACTAGTTATCCAAAGCTATAGGTCCGAGTATGTCTTGCTATTTACTCATAGCTGTGGGCGAGAAAAAATATGGATTCATGCCTTTCGTAAGTGAATGTAATGAACCCAACTGAAATTCGAACATAGCTCTCCGATTCCTCGCCGCTATCCATCACTCCAGTGTTTCCTTTTGAGACTATGTGCACTTCAAAAAGATTAATCACCATTACATTTGAATTTTCGAGTCTATGATTTCGGTTGATAATTTCTACGGCCTTCTATGTAGGCTATAGAAATTCTGAATTGAGATACTGCCTAAAAATCTTTAAGGTGGCTTTGTCGTTCAATGGATTATAGGTAGAACCCTATAATTAATTCTAGAGTTTTTAGAACCGTATAGTTTATACCCGATTTTTAATCTTATCTTATTTTTTAAATTATTACCGGATTTTACACAACGTATAAATGGGTTACGAAACCTTTGGTGTGTATCTCAGCGTCACTCGTGTTTTCCATGGTTCTGAGATTAAATACCTCTAGTCCATTATGAAGCGAAAACTGAAGGTCACTGAAATATGGTTCTACAGAAGGATACTGAGAATTTCTTGGACAGAGCGCGTAAGAGACGAAGTCTTAAAGAAAATAGTAACAAAACACACGCTTTTACTCAGAATTAGAAAGAGTCAGCTGGAATTTCTTGGGATGAATGAGAAAGAAAGGCTTGGAGAATTTGACATTCACATGTCATATTGAGGGCAAGAGTGACAGAGGAAGGCAGCATACCACCTACCTGATGAACTTTTCTGAATGTATCCCTGAATGGGGAAAAGAGAAGCTTGGCAAAGAGACAAAGGTTGCTAAGGTGTATACGGTTTTCCTTAAACATGATCGCCCACGTCCTAAAGAGACACGGCATATAGAAGTAGAAATCTAAAGGAAAGCGAGAGGAAAGGACTAAGTGTCAGACAGAATTATGGCTTTTAGCAAAAATAACTAAAGTACGAATTGCAAATCGGAGATAGCAATATCAAACAAGTACAAAACTTTAAATATCTGGGAATTAATTTAACAGAGATGGCTCACAAGCGTAAGACATACTCGTGGATGCTTATTTAGGTGAGTTCTGACATACGTCGAGAATTATGTCGCGCCGTAGGAAGGGATCTCCGACGTAAGTCGAGGACCCCCTGTATAGTCTGGTGGTCTATGAAGTTTTTGTTGCACCAAATGAAGAAATATTGTTAGCAAGCGAGATTATTAATCCATTGTTCGTGAGTTTTATTTGAGTAAGCCACACTGACCGATGGGTGCTGATTCGGTTTCGCTACTATTTAACCCATAGCGGAAGGGGAGAAGTGATAGTTCTGTAATCTGGGGTAGGTGGGTCATACTACCAGACTAGTGTTATTCTCCATTCTTCAATGCAAATAACGATAATTCAACGGCTATTTTCTGTGTTATATCTTCTATGTGTTTTACGGAGTTAGGCATCCCTTAGTGTCTTTATTTTTGTCATGCTCTGGTTAGTAGAGCTCGAACCTTGACACTGGAGTATTGGTTACCCTTACACTCCTCCCCCAATACTTTGTGAGAAAGTGTTCACATCGACAACGTTCTGTTATCTTACTTGATGAAGCGGCAATTTTCCTATTAATACTAATTTTCTGGATGAGAAATTTCAACTCTTTTGAAGTACCCAGGTGCTATCAGAATTTGTTTATTTGGCCAAGATGATATTTGACAGGTGATTTTTTTTTATTATCCGTGTTGAAAAATGAGGTAGTGATGATAAACAATCTTTATTTTAACATCGCTTGTCAGAAATTCCGATACTGTCCGTTTTTCTCGCATCTTTCCCGAATTGTTTTTTAATTTTGGACACTTCATATTTGAGTAAAAAATTAAATGAATCGTAGCGTTCAAATAACTTACAGATTTAAATCACAACTGAACTGCCATTTGCCTACATTTAGTGAAAATTTCAGAAAAAAAGGACTTATATTTTTTGAGATATTGAAGTTTTAATTTTATTCCTTAATTTTGGACGCTACTGTATATATATATGGTGGACTCTCCTGTCGTATTCAACGTATGAGAGTCAAGCAGTTCAGTTCTTAGGAACTGACAGCCCAGACACCAGCACATATGATTTGATTATAGTGGTGAAGGTTTTGTGCACACTTTTTAAGGGCCGAATACAGCGACCTGGTGCACTACGTGCTACAAGGTCCTTAAACGACCCTCCGCAGGTTTTGAATTCGAAGTTGTCCTTCTCCTAGACCAGTTGGCATCCAAGGCTATAGAACCCAGTCTATCCTGCTATTTTACCCATAGCTGGAGGGTGAGTAAGAGGATTCATACCTTTCACAAGGGTAATCTAATGTAATGGTTTCGACTGGAATTCAACTCAGTTCTCCGATCTCTCAATCCGAGCCACTATCCACTACTAA